AAAAAAAAGAGTCCCTGCCCCCCCCCCCTTGGTTTTTTGGGGTAGGGTTTCTCCGTGTAGCCCTGTCTGTCCTGGAACTCGTTCTGTAGACCAGGCTAGCCTTGATCACACAGAGATCCGTCTGCCTCTGCCTCCTGGCTTCCTTCCTTCCTTCCTTCCTTCCTTCCTTCCTTCCTTCCTTCCTTCCTTCCTTCCTTCCTTCTGTCTATCAAGTAATTTCTTCCCACAATGGTCATGGCCAACACTTGATCATCCTGACTGAAGCTCTGATCTGTGGAACCACCGCCTCCTCATTGGATGCAGATCCTAGGAGTTGGACTTTCCCCACCCCCAGCGGCCCGAGGGCTTCGGGTTACTGTGTGCCTTGTCTTATTTTTCTGTTAGTCAGCACTGAACTAATATTGACAAGCCCCTAGAGCAGAACCGGCGGGCAGAGCTGGCTAAACACAGGCTTTTCTCCACAGGAGACATGTTACTACCTTTCTCCTTTCCCGGGAGATGGGAAAATTGAGCACGTTTCTGCCTTCGAGCCTTCTTCACTGAGTAGGTGTGTTTCACCTCCCAGAAGTGTGAGGCACACGCCATCTGGTCCCATCGTTTTCAAGATGATTCATGGTTATTTTTTCCCCTGTATTATAAATTCTTCACCAACTACATCAACCACCATAGTTTACTTAAACTTGTTTCAGATTCTTGTTAACAATGCATACCCATATACATTCTGGGTTTTAATCTTTCCCATTTGTGTGTGTATGTGTGTGTGTGTGTGTGTGTGTGTGTGTGTCTCATGATGTGAGTGTAGAGGTCAGAGGTGAACTTTCCGGAGTTATCACTCTTCTTCTACTATGTAGACCCCAGGGATGGAACTCCTCAGTCATCAGACTTTATAGAAAGCATCTTTACCTGCCGAGCCATCTCTCCAGCACTGTGTGTGTGTGCGTGTGTTCAATATAATTATAAACCTGAACTGTTTTCCACCAGAATTATCATTGAGCAAAGTGGTAAAATGTTTGGGTGTTGTCAAGTAATTTTTAGAAAAACAGTTGCTGCTCTTGCCAGTAATATATGAAAGTCTCAGGGCTGGAGAGACGGCTCAGTGGTTAAGAGCATTGGCTGCTCTTCCAGAGGATCTGGGTTTGATTCTCAGCACCCACATGGTGGCTCACAGCCATCTATAACTTCATTCCCAGGGGATCTGACACCCTCTCCTAAACACGCATGCAAAGGGCGCACAGACATATAGGCAGGCAAAACACTCATATCCATAAAGTTGAAATTAAGAAGGTGTCCGTTTCACCAACTCCTAGCTAACAATACCATCAATTTCACACAGTATGTGTGTGTGTGTGTGTGTGTGTGTGTGTGTGTATGTTGTTTCTTTCTCTTTCTGGTTTCTCAGGGGTCTAAAGCACCTCACTGCCTGAACATCTGTGACTATGGAGACCTGGGGAGGGGGCAGGGAGCCCCCTGGCAAGAGTACCTACACATCTGCTGCTCTGAGAATCGGCGCCTGGGTTCCACTTTCCATCTGTGCACTTGCATTTGATCTTTGGGAAGATACCATTTTTTTGTACATCTGCTTTCCCCAAATTCACACCAGCAGATGCCAACAGTATCTTAAATCAGTTTCTTTTAAGCTCATATATCCCAGACTGGCCTCCAATCGGCTGTGGAGCCAAAGATGACCTTGAATTCCTCTCCACACATCTCAGATTCTAGGATTACAGGTGTGAGACTCTGTGAATATTTTCTCTTTTCTAATATTTTATTTATTTATTTTTATTTTATGTGTACATTTATCTGTGTGAGGGTGTTAGATCCCCTAGAACTGGAGTTAAAGACAGTTGTCAGCTGTCATGTGGGTGCTGGGGATTGAACCTGGGACCTCTGGAAGAGCAGCCAGTGCTCTTAACTGCTGAGCTATTTCTCCAGTCCTATGCAATGTTTTCTTATGTAACAGATTCTTGGACTGAAGGTATAGATCAGTGGCAAGGCCACTGCCTAACATGCACAAGGCTCTGAGGTTTATTCATTTATTAGTGTATGTGTGTGTGTGTGTGTGTTTTGTCTACATGTATGTCTGTGCACCACGTGTGTGCCTGGTGCCTGAAGAAGCCAGAAGATGATGTCAGAACCCATGGGACTGGAGTTACAGATAGTTGTGAACCACCAGATGGGTGCTGGAAATTGAACCCAGGTCCTCTGGAAGAGAAACTATGTTTTTAACTGCTGGGCCACCTCTCTAGGCCCTGATTTATTTATTTTTATTTTTTGTATATGGATGTTTTGCCTGCATGTATGTGTATGCACTATGTATGTTCAGTGCCCATAGAGGCCAGAAGAGGGCGCTGGATTCTCTGGACCCAGAATTACAGAGGGTTGGCAGCTTCCACGCGTGTGCTGGAAACCAAACCCAGGTCCTTTGCAAAAGCAACAGGTATGCTTGACATTTCTTCAAGCCCAACTTGGATCTTTCTTTCAATTTAAGATTCTCCTAGGGCAAATTCTAGTCAAATGAAATATTATGCAAACCCAAAATGTGAGCCACAAATATAATTTAAAATTTTGATAGGTGCAATTATTTTTTTGGAAAGGATCCCTTGCTGTGTAGCTCAGGAATTCTCAGTCCTCCTACTTTAGCCCCCCCCCCCCATTAGGCTGGAGTTACAGTAGTGCCACCACACACTGCTAGTAGCTGCAATTAAAAATATACATGTACTTATTTATTTGCTGCATATGCTTGTGGGACTGAGCACATATGTATGTGCACCATGCGGATGCCCCAGAAGGACAGAGGGTGCATGGCTCCCCTGGAACTGGAGTTACAGGCATGTGACTGTCTGATGTGGATGCTGGGACCAGGTCTGGGTTTTCCGTGAGAGCATTAAATGCTCTTAACCACCGGGCCATTTCTCCAGACCCAAGCACCTGCATTTTCAAAAACTAAAAAGAGCAAGCAGAGCATGGAGGGTGTGTAGAGTAGAGAGAGCTTTCCTTCTGAACCCACAGCTGGGGACACGCCGTTATACAGGCCTTAACCTTTGCAGACTGTTCACCAATGAAAGTCACAGGCTGGGGAACTGCAGAGGGCCCCCCTGGGTCCCAGAAGTGGTGGGAGTGACAGGGGACATACGGAAACCCTGCCTTCTGATTTGTCAGAGGAAATCCTAAAACGGCCCTAAAGAATCTATCAATTACAACATGTAAAAAGTCCAGCACTCATGAGCCAGAAGCAGGAGAATCTCTGTGAGTTTGATTGAGGTCAGCCTGATCTACATAGTGAGTTCCGGGTTAGTGACACACTGTCTCAAAAAAATAAAAACTATGAAAAAAATAAAATCAATGCATTGTGTGCTGGTCCACCCTGAATCTTTTCACCCAAGCTACATCTTAGTTTGCAGAGTGCTTGTCAGGTGTTCCATCTCCAGATCCTCACAGACCAGGTGTCCTCGTTAGCGAGACTATCGCTGTGACGACACACCATGACCAGAGCAGCATAGGGTGGAGAAGGTACCTTACACTTCCACATCACTGTTCCTCACTGAAGGAAGTCAGGGCAGGAACCTGGAGCAGGAGCTGGTGCAGAGGCCATGGAGGGGTGCTGCTGACTGACTTGCTCCTCATGGCTTGCTCAGCCTGCTTTCTTACAGACCCAGGACCACCAGCCCGGGGATGGCATCACCCACAGGGCAGGGCCCTTCCTCAACAATCACTAATTAAGAAATGCCCTACAGGTTTGCCTACAGTCCAGTCTGATAGAGGCATTGTCTCAGTTGATGCTCCCTCCTTTTGGATGACTCCAGTGTGTGTCAAGTTGATATAAAATAAGCCAGCACACCAGGCATCGTGGCACTTGCTTGTCCCCCAGCACTGGGGAGGTGAAAACAGGAAAACCAAGAGTTCAAGACTCTCCTTGATGACATAGAATGTTTGAAACCATCTCAGGCTACATAAGAACCTGTTTGTTTTTTTAATGTATTTTATATTTTTCAGTACATCTGAAATAATCATATAATATACAATCAATAGCAAAAATAATGAATAAAATATTAACTGTTTCTGGTCCTGAGTCATTGAGATCTGGTTTGCTGCCTCTCCTTAGCACGGCCCATACTTGCTGACGACCAATCACATCTCCAGTGGGCAGCAGTCTCATATGAGCCCATGCTTGGTCATTGTATATCTGGAACTTGATTTGACCCATGGGAGGACAGAGGGGAAAGGTCTCAGTGGCCTCTTTTCACCGCCTCCTCCCCCCCCCCCCCCCCCCCCCCCCCCCCCCCCCCCCCCGCTCCCTTGCCACCTGCTGTCCAGAAAATTCATGCCAAGGCAGCCGGTGTTTTCCCGCCCTGTCGGGAGAGATCAGCTTCCTCGGAGTCAGCCACCCCACCCTCTCCTTGGCTCTCTCACTGTCCTAACTCCCAGGGATTCACCACCTGGGCCAAGCTGTAGCTCTGGCTCTACTAAGAGCCTTCATAACAGTTTTGAAACTGTGTCCGTAACCGTGAGTGTGACATGCTAGGCATTCTGGTAACACAGGAGGCACATCTTACCTAATCGGTCCCAACGTCTAGAGGGCTGAGCCATTTGGCACATAAGGGCTCTCTTTCTGGTCAGTGAACATTCAGGAAACCCAGCCTGTGTTCAAAGTCAGGGGTATGGGGCTGGGTTCTCCTTAGGCAAAAGGACTGGGGGTGGGGGGTGACATCCTCAGCTCCCACTTGGCTCTGAAGAACCTGCCCCCATGCATGTGTCCTTAGGTGAACACACCCCTAATACTCCCCCCCACACACCTGTGTCCCACCGCTACCTGAGCGTCAGAGCCCTGATCGTGAGAGGGCCCGGGAGGTGGGAGCCACCAGCTACCTCAGGCTCTCAAGACACCTTTTGAGGTCAAGTCGCCTCTCTGCCCCATAAGGGTAGGCCTGATGACCTGGGCAGACCAAACAAAACAAAAACAAAAACGAGGGAGCACTGGGTAGGGCGGGGCAGAAACAAGGACTCTCCCTTGGGGCGGGACTCGTATCAGACCTGCTAGGCAAAACGGGGTAAGGGTATTGGCAGCCGAAGCCAGGCAGAAGAGCATCATGAGCGGACAAGTCGGGGACCTGAGCCCACAGCAACAGGAGGCCCTGGCCAGGGTGAGGGGAGCGGAGGGCGGGAAGGCGTGGGAGCCAAGCTGAACTCACCGGGTGCACATTGGCTGTAGCCTTGTGTGGGGACTGGATGGTAAAGCCCAGTGCCTCCGGAGCACCGTTCTGAGGCAGCTGCTGTACGCTGCACCCCTCCTCTTCCTTCCTCTGGGTGACTTCAGGGTGTGTGTGTGTGTGTGTGTGTGTGTGTGTGTGTGTGTGTGTGTAAATTCAGCCTTCTAGCGCGGTGGGCCACACCATCCAGTTTTGGCCCCTGTTCCCAGCTTATGACTACTGCCAGGCAGATCCGTAGATCTCTGCCGAGATTGCGACAGTGTTTGGTTTGCTTTGGTTTCAGTTGCCAGGGTTCCCAGTCTTCTTATCAGACGTATTTATTTACCTTTCATTAGCACAGAGAAATAGAGGGCTAGGGGGTCTTATTTTGAGAGCATCCTGCAGACTGTACCTGGAGAAAGGAAGGACTATCAGAAGGGAGAGGCCCAGTCCTTAAGAATCCAGCCCAGGCTCACATTTGGCCTTCTTTGAAAGGAAAGCTAAAGTTTTGTGACAGACAGGCAGACACTGGAGGAGTCCGCAATCCCGCCCAACAAAACCGGAAGATTGCCAAGTTCAAGACCAGATTACCTGGTGACTCTGTCTCAAAGGACAATGATGAATGGCTTGTTTTGAAGTGTCTCCCACGAGGAAGGATCTTACAGGGAGAAATGAGAGGCCTGGGTGAAGGATAGACCTGGGAACTCAGCCACGGCTCTCCAAGTGAAAGAGGGGACCTTAGCTGAATAGGAGGGCTCACTGACGAGCTGCCCAGTGCTGATGGTCTCAGGAAGCAACAGGCATAGGGTTCTTTTAGGACTAGACACCTGGCGTCTGGGAGGGACTGTGATAGAGAACCCTGTGAGGCGTTCCTACTTTCTCCATTATTTAAAAATAACATACGCTTACTATTTTAAAAATTATAAGAGAAAAAAGGAGGAAGCGGGGAGAGGCTGTGGATGCTGTAGATCTTTGTACAGCTGTATACAGGATCAGCTCCTTCTAGAGGATTCCTGAGCTTAACCTGCACCAGTGTGTCCACACTTCCAGACATGCAGTCTTCATAGGACAGTGTGACCACACTTCCAGACACACACTCTTCATAGGACAGTGTGACCACACTTCCAGACACACACTCTTCATAGGACAGTGTGACCACACTTCCAGACACTCAATCTTCATAGGACAATGTGACCACACTTCCAGACACTCAGTCTTCATAGGACAATGTGACCACACTTCTGGACACATAATCTTCATAGGACACTGTGGCCACACTTCTGGACACGCGATCTTCATAGGACAGTATGACCACACTTCAAGACACGCAGTCTTTATAGGACACTATACTGTGACTTTTCTCCAGGCTGGGCAGATGGTCACCTAGTGGGGATGAGAGAGAAGCATTATTGTTTCTTAAGGGACACTGTACCCTTCACACCCTCCAGCCGCCATCAAGACTGCCTCTGATCCCTCAGATCAGGTGTGAATCCTTCCAGTGCCTGCTGGGGTTCATGCTTTAATCCTTGTTAGCATCAGAGGCTGCACACTGATGACAGCGACAGGCTAGGTACTCGGAGACTATGAATTACCAAAGAGAAAAAGGCCAAAGAGGAGATCTGTTCAAGGCACAGCCAAGCAGTGACAGCCGCGCTCTCCCAGAGAAGACATGGCATGACCCAGGAGCTGCTGGTGGCTGGCCTGTCACAGACGTACAGTGACAGCCCTGCTCTCCCAGAGAAGACATGGCGTGACCCAGGATCCCAGCAGCTGTTTGTGCAGGGTCATTAGCTGCCCCTGAGGCTGACTTTAGGAAAGCTTAGAGCACCACTATTTCCAAACAAGCCATTAGGAGTTGGGGCTGTGGATGTTTGTGTACAGCGTTGTGGGTTATCAGACCCAAGGACTCATGGTCTGGTTGTTAAAGTGTGGGACTTTCTACCTTCACGCTTGGTCATTTGTATTCTTATCTCATTAGTTTTTTTGGACTACTATTGGCCAGGCATGGAGACACACACCTTTAATCCCAACATTTGGGACGCAGAGACAGGTCTGGTCTACATAATAAGACCCTGTGTCAAAAACAAAACAATTATTGCTACTTCTCAGAGGTTTGGGGTATTTAGCCCTGACTGGCTTCAAACTCATAAGATCTACCTACCTCTGCTTCTTGGGCACTAGGCCCAGACTTACAGAGATGTGTGTGTGTGTGTGTGTGTGTACGCGCACAAGCATGTGTATGTTGTTGTATGAGGGTGGGTGTTTTACCTGCACATATCCCAGTTAATAATAACTGCTGAGCCATCTCTCCATCCCTATAAGTTTTCTTTTTTTTTTAGGCAAGTTCTCCATATGTAGCCCAGGCTAGTCTCAAACTTCTGATCCTCCTGCCTCAGCTTCCTGAGTGCTGGGGTTACAGATATGTGCCACCAAACTTGGTTTCCATGTTTATTTTAAACATATTGAAGCCTTTGATTGGACACATTTGACATTACCTTCATGTCATAAATGAGGAAACTGAAGCTCAGAGGAAGGAGCCCCTCTCTAATCCAGACTATTGGGGTGCAATTCTGGGGCAATGCATTTAGAACTGTCAGGCTAGCCTTCATCAGCATCACCCGAAATTGGGGGAGAAAAGGCTGGAGTTCTGGTACTTATTCAGGGAAGGCTCTGGCTCTGGCCAGAAGAGGAACTTGTCTCCCCAGAAAAGAGCCAGACAGTTCTGACAGCTCCTCAGACCACCGTGCAGGACAGACTGGAGTCCAAACTCGCCGGGCAGTGGCAGACAGAACCACTGGTCAGGACGGCTTAGCCATGCGTACCTCTTGCCCTTTTTTAAACTTGAGCTTCATTCCAGGACCACTTGTGAGCCTCTTTCCTGGTTTCTCTCTCCAAAGTGGCCACACCAAATAACTCTTCTCAGCTTTTCACTGCTGCTTGGCTCTTGGCTGACCGTTTGAGCTGTCAGGGCGCGGGCTCCGACAGAGGACTCCAGTAACATTCTATCATGCCCTCCCTTTTCCTCTTAGTTCCGGGAGGCCCTCCAGGATGTGCTGCCAGCTCTGCCCAAGGCTGATGACTACTTCCTTCTGCGCTGGCTCCGAGGTGAGGTCACAGGGATCAGGAAGGCAGGGAGCAAGGGAAAGGAGAGAAAGGAGCAAGATGGCAGGACAGTGAGGTGGGCACTTCAGGGCACTCATCCTGCTGATACACAGGCTTCTTGTTGGCCTGCTCTAGGCTAGAATCCAAACTTCACTGCTAGAATCTGTGAGCACCGCACAGACTCATCTGAGCCCAAGTCTCTCTGTCTCGGAGGGAGCTTGGGTCTCCTGAATGACAAAGGAAAGAGGAAATGATTGTTCTGGGGTATGGGTTAAGGAGGAAGTTTACTGTAGATATCAGTGGGAGCACAGCCAAAGCATCTAGAGGCGTCTAGACGGAACCACAACCTGAGAGGAAAGGGGTGACGGTGGGGCGGCCTGTGGAGGCGAGAGACTGCAGCCAGAGCCCCCTTAACTACTCTTCTTTATTGAGCAGGGTCTCTTGACGACCCTGAGCTTGCTGGTTAGCTAGCCTAATTAGACAGCTGGTCCCAGGGGATCCCCTCCCGCTCCGTTCTACATCTGTCCTGATCCCCCTAATACTTACACTCCAGTGCCTTTGGCTTCAACAGAGTAAAAGCATGGAGACCCCAGGGCCTCCCAGCTTGGCGCTGAATCGGGTTTCTGTGAACCTTTAGGACTTGGGTCTGCCTTCAGTCCCCTGGGACACTGAGTAGTGATGTAATGGCAGAGAAGGGGCTTCTAGAACTCACAGCAGTCTGGAAGAGGAATACCAGAAATGGCACCTAGGCTGGGGGGCAGGAGGCTAGAGTGGGGGGGGGGAGGTTGGGGGAAGATGGGAGGAAGCTGGGGGAAGGCTGAGGGGAAGATCTGTCGGGGTGGGGCTGGGGGAAGGCTGTGGGGAGAGGCTGGGGGGAAGGCTGTGGGGAGAGGCTGGGGGGAGGCTGGGGAAGGCTGGGGGGAAGATCTGTGGCGGGTGGAGCTGGGGGGAAGGCTGGGGTAAGAAATCTTTTAACTCTGTCCTTTGACTGGAATAGAGTGGGCACTTGAGGTAGGAGGAAGTCAAGACTCATCCCAGAAGTGAACACAAGGCACGTGGTTTAAGTGGTTGTCAACCTGACGGACTTGTAACCGAGCCCCAATTCCACACTGCTAGCAGAGGACCAGCGAGAAGCCAGTCTGTCAGCCTTGCTTTCTTCTGTGCTGTTGTAGGCTTGGTATTGAGCCCTGTCTTCAAAGTGCTGAGTCAAATATAAAGTCTCCAGGCCTACATGAAGGAAACCCCAACCTAAAGGCCACTTTCCCCCTCTTTTTGTTCTTTCTGTATTTATTTATTTATTTATTTATTTTTGTTCTTTCTGTTTTTAAATAATTATTTTTAGAAACAGTTTTTTTAAATTTTATTTTAAAACAGTTTTAGGTTTTCAGGGGGAAAAAACAGCCAACAGGATGAAGAAAAAACTAGTAGCATTCTTATCTGAAGCAATATCCAATTATAAAACATGATGAGAACTCAGGTACTGCTCAAACTAGCAGCTCGGCCTATAAAGCTCTTGGAATTTAAGCTTGGCACAGAAAAGATCCAGACACAGCAAATAGACAAACCTTTAAATGTTGATGTATTTAGAACTGCCATATTCAGTGTGGTAGCCTGTGGACATATTTAACTATCCAAATTACCTTAAATTAAGACTGCGGGTCCTCGTCTCACTGGCTACATTTCTGCTGTTCAGTGGCCTCGTACAGCTAGGGACCGCCACACTTAGCAGTTCAGAGATGGCTGGTCCCATCATCACAGACCACTCAGTGGGCCAACACCGATGCAGGTGATGCTAATACACACAAAGGAGGACCGGGAGAGTGTCATCGCAGAGGCTTGTTCTTGGACTCTTGCAGTGAAGCCCACCCTGACAAGCAGCTCTGTATTGTTTGGCCTGTGACTGGGGGGCTGCAGCCCTTATGAGACGGGTTTGGGCTCCGTCGAAGCTGCTGAGGAGTGGCGTGGGCTGCCTGTGTATGCGGTGACCGAGTGACTTGTCACAGAGGATGGGAGGTCAGCTAGTGGCCATCGTGGTTCCTTCTTGAGGTGATTAAGGAACAGGGCAAAGGCTGTCTGGCCGGAATGTGGCCTTCCACTTGAAAATCTCTGCTGTTGTGTTCCACTTCAGCTCTCTTGGTGGAAAATCTGATAGCGAGCTAGTCGCCATACAAAGAAACTGCCAAGGCATTTCTAAAATAAACTGTGCTTGTGGGCTGCCGGCATGCCTGTAGTTCCAGCTGAGATCTTTAAGGTACTTGCTGAGCAAATATGAGGACCACGCACCTGCTCCCGGCATTCATACAAGGAGCAAGATCCAGCGTGGTCTATGTGTAACTGCAGGACGGGGGGAGATGAGGCTTTCTGGTCAGCCATTATTCTAGCCAATTGATGACTCCAGATTCAGTGAGAAAGTGGTTGAGAAGGGCACCAACAGTGAGCCCTGGCCTCCACACCCGCGTGCACACGCATGCGCAGGCACGACCAGATACACACACAGATTCCCAAACCCCAAGAATATTTTGAGGATGTAAGGAAAAGTGAGGACACCCTAATCTTGTCCTCAGGAACCTCTAGGGACCAGTTTCTCCTACCACTCTTAAATGGTTTCTGTGTCTGTTTGTTTATTGGGAGGTGGGAGTACACTCATGCAACCAACCGATGCACACGGAGGCCACGGAAGTTTGCTGATTGATTTCTCTCTGTTTTGTGAGTTCCAGAGATTAAACTCAGATCGTCAGGCTTGATGGAGGAGAAAGTTTATTTGTAGGTAAAAGAGAGAGCATAGTCAGAGGCAGGGACATCTGGGAGAGTCCAGAATGGACATGGCCCTGAGCCTTGGGGGGGGGGGGGAGGAGAGGTGAGAGTCAGACCAGGTAACCAAAAATGTCTGGATTATAGAGGGAAGGGAAAGGAAGGAAAGGGAAAGGAAAGGGGGGCAGCACAGCACCTGGGCTCGAGAGATTTAGGGTAGGGTGAGGTATGCCAGTCATTAGCTGGTAAGGACTGAGGGATGCTGGGAGAACCTGGCAGCCAGGTCTACTTTGATATGTTAAATAAGCACCTCAGTGTCTTAGGGTGCCTATTGCTGTGAAGAGACGCATAGGCCACGGTGGGTCTTAATCCTTGTATGAATGACCACGGTGATCCTTATAAAGGAAAACATTTAATCGGGTGACTTAACAGTTTCAGAGGTTCAGTCCATCATCATCATGGTGGAACATGGTGACATGCAGGCAGACATGGTGCTGGAGAAGGAGCTGAGATTTCTACATCTTAAGTAGGCAACAGGAAGTGGTCTGTCTTGTTAGGCGTTGCTTGAGTGTATATATATCAAAGCTTCCCCTCCCCAGTGACACGCTTCCTCCAATAGGACCACACCTACTCCAACAAGGCTACACCTCCTAATAGTGCCACTCCCTTTGGGGGCCATTTTCCTTCAAACCTCTTCAGTTAGCCATTTGTCCCGGATTTAGAACCTAACAGTGGCAAGCACCTCGCCTTTACCAGCTGAGCTGTCTTGCTAAACCCCCAAGACCAGCTCATTCTAGATCTGGCCTGTCCTTCCCATGTTTTCGCAGCTCGGAACTTTGACCTTAAGAAGTCGGAGGACATGCTCCGGAAGGTAGGACCCTGCTTCCATGCCCTGGCTCCCTTGTGCTCACCCAGGCTTCTGGCCGGTAGAAAGAGTCTCTTCTCGTGTTCTGCTTTCCATCTCCTGGGTCCTTCCCTGAACAAGGCCTGAGTCCCTCCTCCCTGCATCCTTCTCCCACCTCCAACCCCAGTTCTGTGGAGCCTAAAGGTCTTCTGGCACAATCTTGTGCTGTGGGCAGGGCTGCCTGGCTTCATGTCCCCAGTGCCTGCAGAGGCTTTGGAGACAGGTAGCTTCTGTAGCTTCTGCATATCTCTGCAGCATGTGGAGTTCCGGAATCAGCAGGACCTGAACCACATCCTTACGTGGCAGCCACCAGAGGTGAGCCCTTCGCAGTACCCGTTAGGCCTGTTGGTGCCCTCCCTCTCCCCCATCCCCCGATGGCACAGTGTGGGCTGGTTTGAGTGAGGACTTTGTCCATTTGTCCAGGTGATCCAGCTCTATGACTCGGGTGGTCTGTGTGGCTATGACTATGAAGGCTGCCCTGTGTGGTTTGACATCATTGGGACAATGGATCCCAAGGGGCTCCTGATGTCTGCCTCTAAGCAGGACATGATCCGCAAGCGTATCAGAGTCTGTGAGCTGCTTCAGCATGAGTGTGAGCTGCAGAGTCAAAAGGTGAGCAGTGGGATTCAGGCAGCATGTTTGGTGGCCTTAGTGTTCCAAGTGGAGTCACTAGGCCCAGGGAAGGACAGCACCTTGTCTCTCTAACTCTTGCCAGCTCTACGTATGATTTTCTCCGTGAGTATCATAGTGAATGTGTGTGAGTATATGTGAGTATATATGTGTGTGCAAGTATGCATGTATGTTTGTGTGTGTATGTGTGAGTGTATGTGCAAGTGAGTATGTATGTGAGTATGTGTAAGTGTGTGTGTGTGTGTGTGTGTGTGTGTGTGTGTGTGTGTGTGTGTGTGACTCTCTGCCGGCCTGAGGTAAGGTCACCAATGCCTTCTCTTCTGGCTGAGTTCATAAAGTGCTTGCCGAGCAAGCACAAAGACCATGTTCAGATTCCAATCACCCACATAAAAAGCCAGGCCCTGACACTAACCATGGGAGGAGTAGTGAGAACTCTTACCACTGTCCCTAGGACTTCTTGGAACAGCCAGCCAGCTTTACTTACAGAAAAGATAGTCACCACTGTAGATTCTTGGGACGCAAGGAGATACTACAGAGTTAATAAAAAATATATATGAAATCCCAGGGCCAGTGAGAGGGCTCAGAGGGTAAAGGCACTTGCAACCATGCCTAACAACCTGAGTCCTGTTCCTGGAACTAACACGGTGGGAGGAGAGAATGACTCCCCCGGGTTTCCTTCTGACTTCCAGACAGGCACCATGGTATGTACCTGAACACACACACTCGCCGCACATGATAGATGATTGATAGATAGATAGATAGATAGATAGAGATAACAAATAGATAGATTACAGATAGATAATAGAAAGATAGATGGTAGATAGATATATAAATATAAAGAGTACATTGGAAAGTCGGATGTAGTAATGCATTCCTTTAATCCCAGCACTTGGGAGGCAGAGGCAGGTGGGTCTTTGTGAGTTTGAGGCCAGTCTGAGAGAGTTCCAGGACAGCCAGGGCTATATAGAGAACCTGTCTTGAAAACCAAACAAATTGTATATAGAGCACTCAAGAGTGAGGCTTCTACTCCAAGAAGACCTTCATATGCACCTGGACAGGTTTATCTCCTGCCCTGAGCTGCCCTCTGACCTCTGCAGCTTTCAGAGTGAACCCAGTGTAGAAGGCAGCCTTGCTGGTTTTGTGCATCTGAAGTATGAGCCCAGCGCACGCCATGGTGACATGCAGAGATTGAGGACAGCCTCTGGGAATCAGCTCTCTTTCCACCAAGTGGGTCCCAGGAATTGAGCTCAGGTCAATGGTCTTGGTGACAAGTGCCTTTACCTGTTGAGCTGTCTTGCCAGCCCTGAGTCATGCTTTAATTATGCACTAGGCAATAGTGTCGAACAAACTATGATACCCGAAGAGCCTAGAGCTCAGCTTTAACCTCTCCTCACACCCTAGATGGATGCCATCTGTTTGGGACCTGACACACGCTTGCCAGGCCTCCCTACCAGGTTGTGGGTATCAAGAAGATGGAGAGAGGTGGCCAGGATCCCCTGCATGAATTATCGATCTAACCAGTGTGCCTGCTCTGTTCCTGTAGTTGGGCAGGAAGATCGAGAGGATGGTGATGGTGTTCGATGTGGAAGGGTTGAGCCTGAGGCACCTGTGGAAGCCAGCGGTGGAAGTCTACCAGCAGGTAAGGCGGGATACAAGAGCAGTATCAGCACCAGGCCAAGGGGAACCCACAGTCCACACCAGCTTCCCATCCATAGAAAAGCAGAGACACCCTCCAGGGAACCTGTGGACCAGTCTGGCCTTAGGGCCACACTAGAGGGAGGATGAGGAGCAAGGACATCCCAGAGGAGGATGCACAAGTCATGGAGAAGGCGGGGCGGGGCCTCTTGCTTCAGCAGCATCAGAGCTACAGAAGACTGGGCATTCAAGGGCTGGCTACAGCCATAACCGATGTCACTTAACTTTACAGTTTTTCGCCATCTTGGAGGCAAATTATCCTGAGACAGTGAAAAATTTAGTTATTATTCGAGGTGAGTCCATGACCAAGATGACCTCTGCCTGGGGAAGGGAGACCGGGGTGAGGTGACAGTAAATAAACCATTGGATTACAGCTTCTCAAAAATCTTCTTTTGTGAAGAATAAGGCTTTTGTTTGTATTTTTAACTCCATTCCTTTGCAGACCAATATTTTTGTACTATGCAAAATCCTTCCCTTGTGTGTTTCAGCCATGTTAGGTGTCTAAATATTTGCTGCTCTTTTCTTACTCATGTCAGTGTAGACTGGACCATGAGCCACACTGTTAGCAAGAGTGGTCCCTGTCTTCGATGGCCGTCCTATATTCCCTGGACTCAGATGTCCTGGGCTCACGTCTAGTTAGCTCTCTCATTTGGAGTGAGTCAGTTTCCTCTCATTGAGACTCGGCTTTTCCGTGTTGTGGAGTGAGACCATCATGATGCCCCCCCCCCCAGATAGTTAGGATATTAAATGAGAGTCTGCTAAGTGAGAAGATTGCACATAAAACCTTGCCCACAGGAAGTGCTCAATGAGTAAGCAGGTACCCCTGGGGTGAGAGAGGATATTTAAAGCAGGTCCCCCACCTACTCTCACCCCAAAGGACTCTGAGGTCACCTAGCAAAACCATGAGTGGCCTCAAGGAATCATCATCATTGCTGACCATGGGCCCAGTTTGTCCCCAACACCCTACAGCTGGTTAAGGGACAGCACTGATTATTGAGAACCAGACACCATACGGTCACTTTACGGCTAATAACACTAAGACTCAGAAGTGCAAGTCTGAGCTAGTGCTCACACAGCAGGACATAGCAGAACCCAGATTCGCTCAACTCCTGCCCAGCACAGGATTGGCTGCGCCTTTATGTACTGCAGTTGTCTTGGTCCAGCTTCCCAGTGGCGTTCTGTGTCTTTCAGCTCCCAAGCTTTTCCCAGTGGCCTTCAACCTGGTCAAGTCATTCATGGGTGAGGAGACACAAAAGAAGATAGTGATTCTGGGAGGTAAGTGACTTCGCTCTTGACCCCCCAGTTGGCGCTGGCTCTGTGCCTGACTGGAAAGCAGAAGGTGTTGCCAGAGGCCCCCTTCTCCTGGGATATCCTCCTTCCACAGCATTGGCCTTGGTCTGGCCTCATCAGCGCACAGAACCAGCCTCCAGTTCTGGGTCATGGCCTCCGAGCCAGAAAGCAAGCTCGTGAGCACTCTGAGGAATAGATTCTCAGGGAAGCTAGTGGCCCTCTCACTGGTCTCTCTGTTGGTCTCCAGAGCTCCTCAGCGCCCCCCTTTCCTCATACAGATAACTGGAAACAGGAGCTCCTCAAGTTCATGAGCCCTGACCAGCTGCCTGTGGAATTTGGGGGAACCATGACTGATCCTGATGGTAACCCCAAGTGCCTGACTAAGGTACAGAGTTCCCAGAGGATGGGGAGGGAGGAGACCAGCCTATGGCTGCCTGTCAGCTTACCCACCGCTAACTCACAGATCAACTATGGTGGCGATGTGCCCAAGCACTACTACCTGTGCCGGCAGGAGAAGCCGCACTATGAGCACACAGTGGTGGTGGGCCGAGGCTCCTCCCACCAGGTGGAGAATGAGATCCTGTTCCCAGGCTGTGTGCTCAGGTAGGGACTGTGGCTGGGCATCCCTGGAAGGGCCTCGCAGTCCACACAGGAGGTCCTCAGAGGGTCTTTCTGCTGCAGGTGGCAGTTCTCTTCCGAGGGCGGCGACATCGGCTTTGGGATCTTTCTGAAGACCAGGATGGGGGAGAGGCAGAAGGCCGGGGAGATGGCAGAGGTGCTGCCCAACCAGCGCTACAACGCCCACATGGTGCCTGAGGACGGGAGCCTTACCTGTGTCAAGGCTGGAGTCTGTAAGAGTGCCAAGTTTTCCTGCAGTTGCCTTTGTGGGAGGAAGAGAGACAGTCATTTGGGCCTGGTCCGGCCTCTCTGGAATTCCTCTACGTCCAGCTCTCAGGGAAAGAGCAAGAACTGTACAGAAGGGCTCCAGGGGCTCCATCTTCAGGGTCTTAGATCTGATTTAAGGCCAGAGGTGCATTGCACAAACTCCTGAGGTTCAGAGCCCAGGAGAATAGCAGCCTAGGAGACAACTAAGTAGCCATGAACTTTGCCAAGGGTCTCTGCAAGGGGCCTGCCCAGTTGTCGGAACTCCAAATATCCCAAAGAGGTGGCTAGAACTGATATCAGTTTCACAAAAACAAAATGGTCTAGTGTCTTAGCTAGCTTCACATACTATAACAAAATACCCAAGGCAATAAGCTTAGGGGATTATTTACTCTACCACACAGTTCTGGAGGTTCTAGCCCAAGATTCAGTGAACTTATTGCTTTGAGTCTCCTGTGAGTGTGCACATCATGGCAAGGACACTCAGAGCAAAAACACCTATGTCACAAGCCAGGAAGTCAAAGTGATGGGGATGACATCCCCTCTTCAGGGGCTGCCTGTGAAGTGCTGGTGTAATTCTGGGGTGGTAGAAGTGGCCATACTCCTACTGAGGTCACCACACTCCCAGGAGGAGGTCATGAGTGGTGAGCTTGGGGCAGGCCAGTGGCTGATGCTCACATCTTACCCACGGCCTGGTCAACACGTTCCCAACATCACCAGGAGTGCACATGAGCTGGCCTTATACTGTCTGTCCCCTCTCTGTCCTTGCAGATGTCCTGCGCTTTGACAACACCTACAGTCTCCTGCACGCCAAGAAAGTCGGCTACACTGCAGAGGTGCTGCTCCCAGACAAGGCCTGCGAGGAGAAGCTACAGGGCCTCAGGGCAACAAGCCCTCCTCGGGACCAGGAGGACACTGGCCGCCTCTGACCCTGCTCCACCCAACTCCTTCATGCACCCCTGCCCCCCCCCCCCCCCCCCCCCGCAGCGCTGAACGAGGCTACAGAGATCTCCAACCCCCATCTCCATCTGAGCCTCCCCATGGGACCCCTTAGACACAGTCCAGCACTTTCATTCCCTGGACCTCGAGAACAGGGCCGAGGATGACAGCGCACGTCCGTTAGGAAAGGACCCTGCCCTTGCTCTTGTCCTCTTGAAGACACCCACCCACCCAGGATTCAGCCATGCTGGGTATCCCAACTGGGATCCAGTACAGGAGAGCCATATCCTGTTCGCCACAGCTGAGGGATGGTTTCTCTCCAGCTGGAGGTCAGCAAGGCCGGAAGGGCCAGCTGGAGGCAGCTGGGGAGCCGGGGAGCCGGAGAGCCGGGGAAGGAGGAGAGAAGCCCCAGCTCCAGCAGAGCAACAAGGCCTTTCTAAATTGGGCTGCCTTTGAAAGGAACGGCAGAAGTGGAGAGGCAGGGCGTGGCAGGGGAATCATCAGGGGAAAGCCACACTCGCATTACCAGGCTGAGCGGGTTATTGAATCTAATGACGAGACACAGGCGTGCTCACATGTCCTCGTGCACCTCCCCCGCCCACACACGCATGCTAGGATCCTGCTAATACTCAACTTTGACTGTTTCCTTTTTCTTCAGGCAGTTGCCCCTGCCAAGCCTTCTTCAAATTCCCCATGTAGCCCAGGCTGGCATTGCAGTCTGACTTCTTCAGTGTCCCGAGTCCTGGGATTACAGATGTACACCACTAGGACTGGCCAACTTTAGTTCTTTCTGGCCTGAGTGGAGCTCAGAACCAAAGCTAAGCTGCGGAGAGATACTGGTACTGGGGCGCAGGGTTCATCCTGGCTTCTAGCATGCTTCTGGAGAACCTTCCAGCTTTCCATACATCTGCATGTCTCTATGGAGAGAGTTGGAAGGCAGCTGCCAACATCCCTTCCCTGCGCGACCCAGGAGCTGGCCAGTGACCATGTCTGCATGTAATATCTCAAAGGCTGGCCCTCCTGACATCCACAGGTACCCAGCCAGCCTACCATTTCTCTGTTGGATGGACTGAAACTAACCGAGCAGATGCTACCAAGCTCAAACCAATGCACCTCAGTGGATTGCCCCAGAGAAGCCGTTACCTGGAGCCTAAGAGCCTTGGCTTTGCTGCACTGCTCTCTCCTGGACTTATGGCTGGGACAGAAGACCTGTGTTTCACGCAGGGTAACTCAGACACTGGCTCAGGCTCACTGATGTTGCCTTCTTTGTCCTCCTGTGCTCCTGGGCAAAATGTCCCTAGAAGTGGAATAGTAAGATGCTCCTGGAAAGGGGGGCCCTTGTTTTAAGGTGCTGTCGTCCTCAAAGCCTTGGCAGACACCACTGTCTAGGCACCTTGCAAGCAAGAAGCCGTGCCCCGGCCCCTTTCCAGGTTCCAGATGCCATCATTTGATGTTCTCTGCTTACTAGATGTCTTCATTATCGAAGAGGTTTTAATGGAAAAAAGTGATAAGCCCTGAAGATGAGGGAGGAGGCTCTTCAGGGCAGCCCCTAGCCACGGTATCTGGACCACTTACAGCCAAGGCTTAGAGTCTTAGGCAGGAATTATTCATGGCACTGCCTCTTGGCAATTCCTGCCTAAAATCAGCCTAAGCAGATTGGCAAGAGGGAAAAAACTGTACGGTTTTGCTGGATCCCAAGAGCCTGGGACTGTCAGGCAAGAGTCAGAAGGCATTTCCAAGTCCAGGGCTGCTCCTGCACTCTGAGCCCCTCTTGTCTCCCTCCATCTTCTTGCTGCAGACCAAAAGAGTTGTCGCTGTGGTTAGGACTATCTTGAGTTCGTTCATCTTACTTCATGTCATGAGTACTCAAAAAAAATGTGGCCTTAAAATAAAAGGCTCCTGGACTTTAACCCTGACCCTTGCCCTTCTAACCACCCAAAGCCAATTTTCCCCTTTAGTAAAGCCTCACTAGTATTTCCTTGCCGGTAACAGAGACAGATCTGCCCCAGGCCCAAGGACAGCTGATGCTTCCATCAGAGAGAACAGGCATACATTGTTGCTGGGGACAGAGGGATAGGCACCAGGCACCAAGGAGCGCGCTGTGGATACCAGCAGCTCTCGATCCCAAAGCTGGCACAACATGCCTCATGGTTAAGCAATGATCACAGAGGTCACCTGAGGAGATGATGCAGAACCTGCCTGGCAAGTGGACAGGGCATTGAGAGCTCAGGAAGTCATGTGTCCTCAGCAAACCCTCACTCTTGCAGGCACGTCCAACTCTCTGACATTGCAACACAATGCTGTCATCGACAAAGTTCATAACTGAGAACCATGAACCATGCCAACCGAGTTACAAAACAATCTAAAAAACCCACAGAAAACACCCACATAACACTTTATGCAATTTTATGGGTTCTGTGATTGGCCAGGTTCATAGAGACCCTGGGCCTCATGCAGCCTGTAGAGTCAGATGGGACACCCCTTATAGAGTGTGTTTTTATTTTTTCTTTTTGTAGTTCTGGAGCCAGAAGTCACATCCTTGCACATGCTAGACAAGCATCCTGCTTGTGAGCTGCAGACCCAACCAAAAGACTGATGCTTTCTTACGGGAATAGTGTGTGTCTTCCTTTATGTCTCCACTCGTCGTTCTTTGGCGGTTGTTGAGCATCTGCCCAGCACCCGGCCTCGCAGACCCTGGGGACAGTGAGGGTGCTCAGCTGATCTAACTCCACCAACAGGAAGCTCACTCACACTGAGGGAGGCAGAGTGACCTCGATGATCAGAAGTCAAGTGCACATGGTGTCTTATGGTGGCAGGAACCAAATTTGTAGGGCATGCCCAGAAAAGAATGAGTTTTGGAAGAACTTGGGGTGGGATGGTTATATAAGGACAGGCCTCCAGGGTGAGGAATGGGATATGGTGGCCATAAGGTGTTTGGAGCCAGAGGAGACAGGCAAGTTTAATAGATGTCAATAAGGCTGGGCGGTGGTGGTACACACCTTTAATCCCAGCACTCAGGAGGCAGAGGCAGGAGGATCTTTATGAGTTCAAGACCAGCTTGGTCTACAAGAGCTAGTTCCAGGACAGGCTCCAAAGCTGCAGAGAAACCCTGTCTTGAAAAAAACAAACAAACAAAAAAAGTCAATAAAACATGTCAATAAATCATGTTTGACGTAAATGGCTGTAAGAGCATGTGGCTTGCCGGGGGTGGGGTGGCATTTTTTGGCAGGGAATTGTAGATCCAAGCTCTTCAAATAAGATGCTGGAAAGCCTGAGCCCTCCTGTCTCGGGGATGGAGGCAAGGCCGACTCTTCCCCGTCCACCTCCTAGAGAAAGTCCTCGTAGCCTTTGGAAGAAGGTGCATTGGGCGTTTATAGGGGTGTTTTTATGGCAGTCGGAAAAAGGGGTGTTTTTATGGCAGTCGGAAAGACTCCCCTGCCCTCCCACCCCAGCCGAGTTCACGAAGTCAAGAGGGACACAACAATCCCTGGTGTTCAGAGCAGGTTTTCAGCTATGTTCTAGGGCCCAGCCCGCCACAGTTTACACAGCTCCTTGTCTGCCACCCTGAAGCAGATAGAGATGAAGTCCCATTTTACAGGCCAGGCCCTGGAGGCTTAGCGAAGTGGGGGTATGCCTGAATAATGCCTGTGTCTAATGGCAAACTGGATCAGGTACCCAGGTCAGTCTCCCACTGTGTCCTCGGTGCCTTCTTGAGAGGAGAGGACCAACTTGACCTGTCCTCTATGAAGGAGGGCTGCGTGGGGTGGGACTTCAGTGTGGGCCAGAGGAAAGCATGGAGTTCCAGGGGCTAGAAAAAGCCCAGCTCACGACCAGCTTACTGTGTGTCCAGGCCAGTCTGTGCTAGGAAGTTTTCTGTACAGTTACAGGGGAGGAGACCCAGAGTTGGGGCAGGAAGTAACTTGTCCTGAGAAATACAGCATGAGAGGAGAAAGCATAGCTGGGTGATAGTGCACACCTTCAATTTCAGCACTTGGGAGGCAGGAGCAGGTAGATCTTTTGAGTTCGAGGCCAACATGGTCTACAGAGAGAGTTCCAGGATAGTCAGGGATACACAGAGAAACCGTGTGTTAAAAAAAATTAAGGAGAGAGAACAAGATGTGAACTTGGGGAGCTAGACAGGGATACAGCTTGATGGTAGAGCACTAGCGTAGCACGTGCAAAGGCCTAGGTCCCCTAGACCATTGAAACAACCACAAAACCCCAGGGACTTGAGTGCAGCTGGCCTGTGTAAGAGGGAGGGAGTGAGAACAACCAGGCCAACCAGGAACTCAGACATGCTCCCAGGGCCTTGTGACCTCTATCTTCCTCCAGCAGGGAGCAGTGTTGGGCAAGACATACCCTGGCTCACCAGGGACTCAATAGAATCCATTTGCCTCCTGAAGGACCTCATAGGAAGTCCAGGAGGTCAAGCCCACCAACCCCACCTTCTTGAGGTTGCTCCAAGTGGCAGAAAGAGGTGATCTGATCCTACTTCAGATCCCGCCTTGGTAGCTTTTTCTGACTGGACCATGTCTTCCTCCCATAGGCCCTGCCCTGTCATCTACACCTCCAGCTTAGATGACTTAAGGCCACTGCTACTTTCCCAGACTCCAAAGCTGTAAACGTCCCTGAAATGACAGCTGGCTCACACTTCTCCGTGTAAGTCCTTCCCTGACTCCTCACGGGTCCTGTGTGCTCGCATGTCTTCCAAAGCCCTCTATGGCCTGCCGCAATCCTTCTTCCTGCCCAGCTTCACCTGACAACCTGCATCTCCCAAGTCCTGATTATCCTGCCTGCTTGAGCTCTGCCCTCAGCCCAGGACTCCCTCTCCCAGCACAGTTCTGGGGAGCCCCCAGACCTCAGGAATCCTCCACCTTCACCCAACAGAGTTCAGGTCTCTTTTCCATACAGTAAAGCAGCAGGACAGCACCATCGTCGGCCTCAACCCTCGCTACTACTCATACTACAGCTAGCCCAGGCTACATGCCCTGTCTGGCCATAGACGAGAGTCACGCATTTACTGAGTCCTGCCCCGCCTAGT